ACACACACACACATTCATGCAAGCACATACACAAACACACACACTCACACACACACACACACACACACACACACACACGCACACCCTCACACAACACAAACACATTAATATAATTTACAACATTCTGTGGCGCACCAGTTTCACGTACTCTTACCTTCATGCAGGCACAAAAGAACAATAAGCTGTCATTCGCACTACCGTTGACTCAACTAGCTATTTTGTATTTAATATTTTTGCACCAAAGTAGAGGTTGTTTACTCCCTTATTTTTAATTATTCTGTTAAAAATAATAAATACTGTTAATGTATAATATGTACTACTCCACTGTAAGCGACCTAGCTTCTTCAGCTAAATAATCGAATTGCTATTTCTCATGTTATCGACCCGACTAGTTTCGTACATAACTATAATACTGACTATTTAATTTCTCAATACCAAGATCTATAATATACTTCATTGTTATGTTATGCAGAGTGTCTGGTACTCTTTTTTTCTCCTTACTTTAGAAAAGAATGACAAATGATTGAACTTTATCCATCGGCGTGTTGAGAAGCGTTGATATTGCTGAACGCGTTACAATTTGGACTTGTTCTTCCATTCATAAGATGTTTTAAAGGTTGTGTTTTATTTTTCTTTCTAAATGATGCCCACAAAAGGCGGGAGTTCAGTTCCCACGCGAGAAAGACATTCAGGGTCATCCACACAAAGTGCCACTTCCATAATACCCTTTCACCTTTGTTACTCTCGGCTAATGCTGATCTTGGCAGTCGTAACTGTGTACTCATTTTGCCTCGCTAACTTCAGCCTGGCAAAAGACTGGGTTTATTTATACAATCTGAAAAACCTTTACACAAAGCAGGACAATATTTTTATGGGTACACTTTTCGTCCTCCGCTTGCGCGTTCTACATTTCTGAAACAATAAAGACTTTAAAAGCCCACAAAACCCTCCACTCATTGAAGGCAACAAAAGAATGTGAATTATCGAAAATCAGGTATACAGGGGTACTATGTTATCCGGAAGAAAATGATTTTTCATAACTCTAGGAGTGAAAACAATCTGCAGCACTTGAGGTACCGGTAGCACTGAAGAGATAAGAACTCTTGTCTTGCACAAAGTGGATCTTCAGAACGTTTAGTAGAATGTTGTACAGCAGTGTTAATCAATCAACGACTCGCATTTTGGATAGATACTACCGAAGTGGGTAAAGAGGCAGAAGTCACAGGAAGGAAAATACTTTTTTTTTCTTCTGTGACTTCTGCCTCTTTACCCACTTTCTGTATGTTTTACAGTATGTGGAGCACACATAGTGGAGTCGTTGTTAATGCCGACGATTAGATAAGACAAAAAAGACGGATGAGAGACAATCGACAGTTGTTTGATAGGACAAAAGAAGAAGAAAATCATCCTAGAGCACAAACAAACCACTCACGCAGATAGTGGAGAAAAGTGTTTTTCCTCATCATCTCGTGTGGACTTATGTTATCCCAAACATATTACGACTGTCTTCAGTGTGTCTCCAGTCTATAACTGTCTAGCGCTGTCGCATTCTGCATTTCCGAAACAATAAAGACTAAAAAAAGAAACAATAAAACATTCATAGAAGGCAAGAGAGAAGTTTGAGTTTGATGAACAATATCCGTATGAGAAAATGATATTTCATGCCTCTAGGAGTAAGAATCTGTGGAGAATTAGATCTAGAAATGTTGACTGACAAAATCGAACAAATAAAATTATGAATCAAGAAAGGACAACGACGAAATCGAAAACGTGTGACTGCTGCCAATTTCTCTGTAATCTTCATTAGAAACATAATTTATTCACATTTGCCCAAATTCTTTTTTCCTTTTTACGACGCCAGTTTCCGTTTTATTTTATTTTTTTCTTTTATATCAATAGAAATTTTACTCTTTCTAGTTGATCCAAAGAATGGTTGTTTTAGCGTCCCAGCTGTACATTGATAGCTCTGTATTTTTGCTATATTATATGTAATATCTTTCTTCTGCAATGTGCTACTCAGCAATACGATAATGTTTATTTACTCTTTGCGTATTCCCATCTGTCATTATCTTTGACTCATTTATGTAAGCAATACTGGCACAGTTTGATAATACTGATATCCTTCTCCAGCATAACTTAAATGTTGTGACATTTTCACCAGCGTTCTGAGTTCCCTCAACTGATGTTCCGGTGTCGTATGTTTTTGTTTGATCGTTT